AACAAACACAAACAAAACCAGTGAGTTGGGCCAGCCGAGGGGCCGAGCGACCGAACGGCGGCGGGCGGGCCTGGGGCGACCAGTGCAGCCGACGGACAAGCGAAAACAAACAAATCAAACAAACCAATGCATTTGGCCAGCCGAGGGGCCGAGCGACCGCGGGGCGGCGGGCGAGCCTGAGGCGACCAGTGCAGCCGACGGACAAGCGAAAACAAACAGAAACAACGAAAGACAGGGCATGGGGCCAGCCGAGGGGCCGAGCGACCGAAAGGCGGCGGGCGCGCGCAGGGCGACCAGTGCAGCCGACGGACAGGCGAAAACAAAACAAAAAACACCAAACCAGTGAATTGGGCCAGCCGAGGGGCCGAGCGACCGAACGGCGGCGGGCGGGCCTGGGGCGGCCAGTGCAGCCGACGGACACGCGAAAACAAACAAAAGCAAACAAATCCAATGCATTTGGCCAGCCGGGGAGCCGAGCGACCGCGGGGCGGCGGGCGAGCCTGAGGCGACCAGTGCAGCCGACGGACAAGCGAAAACAAACACAAACAAAGAAAGCAAGGGAATGGGGCCATCCGAGCGGCCGAGCGACCGAAAGGCGGCGGGCGGGCGCAGGGCGACCAGCGCAACCGACGGACAAGCGAAACCAAACAAATACAAACAAAACCAGTGAATTGGGCCAGCCGAGCGGCCGAGCGACCGAACGGCGGCGGGCGGGCCTGGGGCGGCCAGCGCAGCCGGCGGACAAGCGAAAACAAGCAAAAAACAAACAAAACCAATGCGTTTGGCCAGCCGAGGGGCCGAGCGACCGCGGGGCGGCGGGCGAGCCTGAGGCGACCAGTGCAGCCGACGGACAAGCGAAAACAAACACAAACAAAGAAAGCAAGGGAATGGGGCCATCCGAGCGGCCGAGCGACCGAAAGGCGGCGGGCGCGCGCAGGGCGACCAGTGCAGCCGACGGACAAGCGAAAACAAACAAAAACAAACAAAACTAGTGAATGGGGCTGGCCGAGGGGCCGAGCGACCGAACGGCGGCGGGCGGGCCTGGGGCGACCAGCGCAGCCGACGGACAAACGAAAACAAACAAAAACAAATAATACCAATGCATTTGGCCAGCCGAGGGGCCGAGAGACCGCGGGGCGGCGGGCGTGCCTGAGGCGACCAGCGCAGCCGACGGACAAGCATAAACAAAGAACAACAAAGAAAGCCAAGGAATGGGGCCAGCCGAGAGGCCGAGCGACCGAAAGGCGGCGGGCGTGCGTAGGGCGACCAGTGCAGCCGACGGACAAGCGAAAACAAACAAAAACAAACAAAACTAGTGAATGGGGCCAGCCGAGGGGCCGAGCGACTGAACGGCGGAGGGCGGGCCCGGGGCGACCAGCGCAGCCGACGGACAAGCGAAAACAATCAAAAAACAAACCAAACCAATGCATTTGGCCAGCCGAGGGGCCGAGCGACCGCGGGGCGGCGGGCGAGCCTGAGGCGACCGGTGCAGCCGACGGACAAGCGAAAACAAACAGAAACAAAAGCCAGGGAATGGGGCAAGCCGAGGGGCCGAGCGACCGAAAGGCGGCGGGCGTGCGCAGGGCGACCAGCGCAGCCGACGGACGAGCGAAAACAAATAAAAACACACAAAACCAGTGAATTAGGCCAGCCGAGGGGCCGAGCGACCGCGGGGCGGCGGGCGTGCGCAGGGCGACCAGTGCAGCCGACGGACAAGCGCAAACAAACAAAAACAAACAAAACCAGTGAATTGGGCCAGCCGAGGGGCCGAGCGACCGCGGGGCGGCGGGCGAGCCTGAGGCGACCAGCGCAGCCGACGGACAAGCGAAAACCGACAGAAACAAAGAAAGCAAGGGAAAGGGGCCAGCCGAGGGGCCGAGCGACCGAAAGGCGGCGGGCGTGCGCAGGGCGACCAGTGCAGCCGACGGACAAGCGAAAACAAACAAATACAAACAAAACCAGTGAATTGGGCCAGCCGAGCGACCGAGCGGCGGCGGGCGGGCCTGGGGCGACCGGCGCAGCCGACGGACAAGCTAAAACAATCAACAACAAACAAAACCAATGAATGGGGCCAGCCGAGGGGCCGAGCGACCGCGGGGCGGCGGGCTGGCCTGGGGCGACCAGTGCAGCCGACGGACAAGCGAAAACAAACTAAAACAAACAAAACCAGTGAATTGGGACAGCCGAGGGGCCGAGCGCCCGCGGGGCGGGCGGCGGGCGAACCTGGGGCGACCAGTGCAGCCGACGGACAAGCGAAAACAAACAAAAACAAAGAAAGCCAGGGAATGGGGTCAGCCGACACATACAAACAAAACCAGTGAATTGGGCCAGCCGGGGGGCCGAGCGACCGAACGGCGGCGGACGGGCTCGGGGCGACCAGCGCAGCCGACGGACAAGCGAAAACAATCAAAAAACAAACAAAACCAATGCATTTGGCCAGCCGAGGGGCCGAGCGACCGCGGGGCGGCGGGCGAGCCTGGGGCGACCAGCGCAGCCGACGGACAAGCGAAAACAAACAGGAACAAACAAAGACAAGGACAGGGGCCAGCCGAGGGGCCGAGCGACCGAAAGGCGGCGGGCGTGCGCAGGGCGACCAGCGCAGCCGACGGACAAGCGAAGACAAACACATACAAACAAAACCAGTGAATTGGGCCAGCCGAGGGGCCGAGCGACCGAGCGGCGGCGGGCGGGCCTGGGGCGACCAGCGCAGCCGACGGACAAGCTAAAACAATCAACAACAAACAAAACCAATGAATGGGGCCAGCCGAGGGGCCGAGCGACCGCGGGGCGGCGGGCGGGCCTGGGGCGACCAGTGCAGCCGACGGACAAGCGAAAACAAACTAAAACAAACAAAACCAGTGAATTGGGACAGCCGAGGGGCCGAGCGCCCGCGGGGCGGCGGGCGAACCTGGGGCGACCAGCGCAGCCGGCGGACAAGCGAAAACAAACAAAAACAAACAAAATCAGTGGATTTGGCCAGCCGAGGGGCCGAGCGCCCGCGGGGCGGCGGGCGAACCTGAGGCGACCAGTGCAGCCGACGGACAAGCGAAAACAAACAAAAACAAACGAAACGGTGGAAAGGGGCCAGCCGAGGGGCCGAGCGACCGCGGGGCGGCGGGCGAACCTGGGGCGACCAGTGCAGCCGACGGACAAGCGAAGACGAACAACAACAGAGCATATCAGGGAATTGGGCCAGCCGAGGGGCCGAGCGACCGAACAGCGGCGGGCGAGCCCGGGGCGGCCAGTGCAGCCGACGGACAAGCGAAAACAAACAAAAACAAACAAAACCAATTCATGTGGCCAGCCGAGGGGCCGAGCGCCCGCGGGGCGGCGGGCGAGCCTGAGACGACCAGTGCAGCCGACGGACAAGCGAAAACAAACAGAAACAAAGAAAGCCAGGGAATGGGGCCAGCCGAGGGGCCGAGCGACCGCGGGGTGGCGGGCGAGCCTGGGGCGACCAGTGCAGCCGACAGACAAGCGAAGACAAACAAAGCAAACAAAACCAGGGAATGGGGCCAGCCGAGGGGCCGAGCGACCGCGGGGCGGCGGGCGGGCCTGAGACGACCAGTGCAGCCGACGGACAAGTGAAAACAAACAAATACAAACAAAACAAAGGAATGGGGCCAGCCGAGGGGCCGAGCGACCGCGGGGCGGCGGGCGAGCCTGAGGCGACCAGTGCAGCCGACGGACAGGCGAAAACAAACAAAAACAAACAAAACGGTGGAAACGAGCCAGCCGAGGGGCCGAGCGCCCGCGGGGCGGACGGCGAGCCTGGGGCGACCAGTGCAGCCGACGGACAGGCGAAAACAAACAAATACAAACAAAACGGTGGAAAGGAGCCAGCCGAGGGGCCGAGCGACCGCGGGCGGCGGGCGAGCCTGGGGCGACCAGTGCAGCCGACGGACAAGCGAACACAAACAAAAGCAAACAAAACCAGTGAATTGGGCCAGCCGAGGGGCCGAGCGACCGAAAGGCGGCGGGCGGGCCTGGGGCGACCAGTGCAGCCGACGGACAAGCGAAAACAAACAAAAACAAACAAAACCAACGCATTTGGCCAGCCGAGGGGCCGAGCGACCGAAAGGCTGCCAGTGCGATCGGCGGACAAACGACAAAAAACCAGAACAACCGAAACCAGCCAAGGAATGGGGCCATCCGAGGAGCCCAGCGACCTAGCGCTACTGCGCGCCGCTAAGACAGGGCCCGGACATTTGTAATCTATTTCTTGTAATTGTTGTTGCTGTTGTTTTTTTTGGGCGGCCCCGAATGCAATCTACTTCTTCCGCCTTCCTACTTCATGTTTCTACCTACTTCTTCCGACCGGTGGGTAAGTTTCACAGGCTTGGCTCATGGACCGACCCTGGAAATGAGAGCTGTTTGGGGGCTCAGCTTGAGCCTGCTGTTGCTGGTGCCGCTGCCGAGTCCCTAGACAGCGGAGCTGTAAGAGAGCAAGGGTCGACAGGTGGCTCGACGCCAGCGGGGAGCGTGATCCCCGCGACTGGAGAGGAGGGACAGCAGGCAGGGGGACGCCTGCTTCGCCTCTTGGGCCTTGACGCCACCAGCGTCGCTCACTTGCACGGTTCTGCCTCGCCCGATGAGCGGGCTGAGCTTGTAGTTGCGAGGCGATGGGCACCTTGCAGCACCCGCATAGTCAGTGCCCTCAGTACCCTCCGCCCCTCTGTCTGCGACATCCTTACATCCTTGAACCCCCTCCCTGCCGACGACGACGCCGACGAAGACGAAGGCGACGACGACGTTGGCGGCCGCGGCGGCGGCGACTATGACGGCGACTATGACGACGACGGCAACAACGACGACGACGACGAAGACGACGACGACGACGACGACGACGACGACGACGACGACGACCACAACGTTTACGACGAAGACGGCGACGACGACGACGACGACGACGACGACGACGTTGGCGGCTTGCGTTAGCGGGGTGCGGCGGCGTGCGGCGGCGAGCGGCGGAAAGAAGCCAACCCCTCGCCCCCCGCCAGTAGCCCGGGCGAGCACCTGAAGGGCGCCGCGCCGTTGCCCTTCTCGGCCCGTCGGGGGGGAGGGGGGCAGCAGCAGGAGGCCGCAGGACCGGGGAGGGTGGAAAGGGTGGCGAGAAAGAGGGTCGAGGAAGCGGGACAGGAGGAGGATGAGGAGCAGGAGGAGGAGGAGGAGTCTCGTCTTGCCGCCTCTCTCTGCACCGCCGTTGCATGTCAATGGCGCCACAGGCACACGTTTCTAGGGCTGTAGGACGAAAAAAACAAGGGGGAGGAGAAGGACGAGGAGGAGGAGAACGAACAGCTGGAGGAAGGGGACGAAGATCGAGGAGGAGGAGGAGAAAAAAGAAAGAGCAGCGAGGAGGAAAGTGCAGCGAGGATGAAAATCATCCAGGATCCTAGATCAGTAGCAGGAGCAGGAGAAGTAAGGAACGAGGAGCAGTTGGAGGAGGAAGAGGAGCAGAAGGACGAAGATCGAACCTAGTTCGGGAGACGTGGTTATGTCCCTAGGCTTTGGGAGTCATGTCTCCCGAGGGTTGTGGACCGGCGAGCGGGACATAAAAGCCTCAGGCCCCAGACGCACCACAGGTTCCACGAGCGCCAAACACCGCACAGGTCCCAGAGGCCACACCAGTCCTTGAGGTCCCACGCGCCCCATAGGGCCCACAGGCCCCACAAGCCTTACATTCCTCAAAGATATCACAAGCCCCTGAAGCCCCCCAGCCTAGAGAGGTCCCAGTGGCACTGATGTGGAGAGTATCCAGTGCTTTGTTTTGGGGGATCGTGCGCGTGTGCGTGGTTTGGCGCGTACGTCATTTGTGGGGCCCCTAGAGGATGAGCCACTTTCCAAAGTTACCCCGTCGCATCCTTCCCTGTCGGCCCATCCTCGGCCTTTTTCGCTGGCCGCGCCCCGCCCGCAGAGTGTCGGCATGGCCTCACAGGGCCCTGGCATCCTTGTCGTGCGTCCTTGCTGTACGGGTTGACTGTACCGCGCTGGCGTTTTCTGAGGCTGCTGGCGGCGGGAGGGCGGAACAGGAAAGTGTGGATCTCTATCGAGCGCAGTCGGGCGAGGCGGGGCCAACGGGCGGGGCGGGCGGGGCAGACGGGCCGGGTCGGGCAGCCGAGGTGTGTCAGACCTCAGAATGGGAGCTCCCGCGCTGACTGCTCTTCATGGGACCGCGCTCTCCCTGGGTGCCGCCAGCTGCGCAGCTGTCGCCACGCTCCGGGGGTCCCAGGGAGGTCGGGCGAGGTGGGGCGCTGCGAGGGCCCAAACTAGACACCGCCACCGCTGGGGGCTGCCATCTGCGCAACTGGCGCCACTGTCGCGGGCTCATGGGAGGTCCAGCCAGGTGGTGCCATATGCGGGCCCAAGCCGGACCTCGCCATGTGGTCCCATGGGGGGTAATGGCTCAATCCCACGACTGCGGGATTGAAATGTTCAATGCATGATGTGGGGCTCAATCTGGAGTTCCGGATTGACCATGTCCAATGAACGTTTCCAATCCGACGCTTCAGATCTCATTGCCGACCGGGGGCGGACCCACATACCTAACATGTTTCGTGCTGGCCCCTGCCAGTTTCTCGGGCTGGGCCGCGCTCCGGACCTGCGGAGGGCGGGCACGCGCAAGCCAGAGCACAGCCTAAGTTTCTTGAGCCACGGCTTTCTTATCGAAGACAGTGAGTGCACACCCTCACCACCAAGTGCGGGACACGGCCCGCGGCCGATGCAGAAGGTCCCTTCTTCTGACGAGGCGGCATCGCAGGATTCTCGTTTTCGGCCGGCCGAGTGGCAGGGGAAGGCGGTTGCGGAGGCCACTACCTTGTCGCCGTTCGGGGGCGTCCGAGAGGAGGGTGAAGACCAGGGGCGTGTGGATGTCATGGCCAGGGCCAGGGAATCTTCCAGATGTCATGGCCCTCGCTTCTTCTTCTTCTTCTTCTTCTTCTTCTTCTTCCAATCCTGTCCCTGGCCACCACCCCTGATACGCGCACGCGCCTCGGGCCATGATGCGCTAAAACCCCCCCCCTCCTTCTGGTCCCCCTCTCCGGCGCAGCCGAGCTCTCTGCCGCGCAGGAGCTGTTCTCATGTGGCAGCAGGCCACCGGAAGGGCTCCCCCCAGCGAGGGAGGCTCGCGAGATCCTGCCCTTTTTGTTTGCCAGCCGCGCTTCTTGCCGCCACGATCGTGAGCATCGCCAGTGAACTAGGTCACCCGCGGGAGGTCGAAGACACTCGCGCTTCCCGCGTCGCGGTCTGGGCCAGAACGGTTGCCCTTTTCCGCGTGGCGCCACGATCGGGGATCGATGCGCGAAGCTGTGATTCCGTCAGCCGTGCTGGCTCAAGCCGCGGCTCAAGCCGCTGGGCTCCGCGCGAGTATCGGGCCGGGCGAAAGGGGGGGATTGGGAAAGGGGGGGTTACGAAATTTGCTGCATGCAGCTGGTTTCGGCCTCACCGAGGGGCCCATTCCTCGATACATGGGCGCTTCCGGCGCCGGGAGGCGCCGGGAAAATC